TTTGAAAAGCATAGTAACATTTTGAAGGTTCGGAAAAATAATGTAGAGAAAGCTCGCGGTGAAGGATTTCAATATCGCGGAAGAAGCAAAAGGTGTTGGAAATGTTGTCATTAAGACATTTCCTGTCGATATAATAGACGGAAAGTTGGAGATACGATTGTACTGGTCCGGGAAAGGAACTACGGTTATTCCAATAGAAGATGTTTATGGTCCTCTCATATCAGCTATATCGGTAGATCCAAGTAAACAATGCTAAACAAAAAAATATATTCAAGTTTTGCCATATGGGTGTTGGTTTCATTTTCTCATTTCTAACGAATATTTTTAACATTTATATGCAAATAGATTTCAATCCACCAACAAGAAGTGGTATGAGTAAATCTGTCCACACAGTTGTAGTGATTGGGAACATTTTCATTTTGTTCCTCCTATTTGTTCTAATTGGTATTCTCTGCAAACGAGGTTACTCGAGATCGAAAACTCAAATGGAAAGAGGTACACATAAAGACTACTAATTAAGCTATATATAGTATTTCTGTTAAGTGATTGACTTGTATGTGTTTCCTAATAATGGTTAGAGATTTGGTTTTTTTTTTTTCAGAATTCAAGAGTTTAGAACCTATGATAAGTTCTTTCTCGTTGAGGCAAATCAAAACCGCTACAAACAACTTTGATTTTGCAAATAGGATTGGAGAAGGCGGTTTCGGTCATGTATACAAGGTAAGAATATAAAGAAAGATCACAAAACTAGAGACAATATTTATGGATCAGCTCACTAAATTTTGTTGTTTAATTATGACTATAGGGAGAGTTGTCAAATGGAACAATAATCGCGGTAAAACAGCTTTCGACAGTATCAAAACAAGGAAATCGCGAGTTCTTGAATGAGATTGGCATGATTTCTGCTCTGCATCATCCAAATCTAGTCAAACTATATGGATGTTGTGTTGAAGGAGACCAACTTCTGTTAGTCTATGAGTTTGTGGAAAACAATAGCCTCGCTCGAGCATTGTTCGGTTAGCTAGACACTAGCTCCTTAAAAACACCATCATATTTTATATTCAGTGATATTTATAACCAATTTTCCCTCCTTTCTTGATGAAGGTCCTCAAGAAACTCAGTTGAGATTGGACTGGCCAACAAGACGAAAGATATGTATCGGAATAGCGAGAGGACTAGCTTATCTCCACGAGGAATCGAGGCTAAAGGTTGTGCACAGAGACATCAAAGCCACTAATGTGTTGTTAGACAAAGAATTGAATCCGAAAATATCAGACTTTGGTATTGCCAAGCTTGATGAAGAGGACAACACTCACATTAGCACTCGAATCGCTGGAACATAGTAAGTAAAAATCCATGAGAAAAGTTAATGTTTGTGTGAGATTTTCCTATAACATAACACAATCTTTTTCGCAACATTTTTGCAGCGGTTATATGGCTCCAGAGTATGCAATGAGAGGCCATTTAACCGATAAAGCTGACGTTTACAGCTTTGGAATTGTAGCTCTTGAGGTTGTTCATGGAAGAAGCAATACAAGAGAACTATCCAAAAACAAAACTTTCTATCTTATTGACATGGTAATAATAATATCAATTACTTTTTTCACAGTACCATGAAGAAAAGGTCTCAACTTTTTTTTTTTTCTTGTTTTCTCTCTAGGTGGAGGTTTTGAGAGAGCAGAATAATCTCTTGGAACTGGTGGATATGAGACTAGGATCAGATTACAACAGAGAAGAAGCAATGACTATGATCCAAGTAGCGATACTTTGTACAAGCCCGGATCCACGTGATAGACCTTCAATGTCAGAAGTGGTTAAAATGTTGGAAGGTAAGAAGATAGTGGAAATGGAGAAGCTTGAAGAAGCTTCAGTACATAAAGAAACAAAGAGACTTGAGAACATGAACACAATGAAGAAGTATTACGAAATGATAGGGACC